CCCCCCCCCCCTTTTTTTTTCTTCCCCCTTCCAATCCGCTCGTCTTCACTTCGGGGAGAGAAACAGGTGGAAAGTTATCTCCCCTGGAGCTAGCATTATGTCCCCTGGACTAGCATTATGTCCCCTGGGCTAGCATTATGTCCCCTGGGCTAGCATTATGTCCCCTGGGCTAGCATTATGTCCCCTGGGCTAGCATTATGTCCCCTGGGCTAGCGTTAAACAGCTTCTCATGAAAATACATGTCGACCTCGGATGGTGACGATACGGTGACACTATGCGCCACATAATATGGTATTGACACTATGTGTCACATTATATAGTATTGACACTATGTGCCACATTATATATTATTGACACTAGATCAGATGTTGTGGGTACTCAACTATTGAGCTATTAATGGAATTATTTTTTATTAATAAAAAAAATTAAATATAGATTTTGCATGTCTATTACTGTGTTGTCCCCCATTCTCCTGATGTCATAAAGCAGGCCTGCACAACATACGGCCCGCGGGCCGCATGTGGCCCGCCAGCACCCACTTTGTGACCCCGCGAGGTGACGAAAAATTCTTTATTCTTATTATTTTCTTAATAGCTTTCCCCCTGACCTATATTCTTTTGGCCCGCACAATTTTTTTTATAATGTCTTACGGCCCGCCTTACATTTTGAGTTGTGCGGGCCTGTCATAAAGCACGTGCTTATAGTGCTTAATTAAACTCTGGTGACAATTAATGCTTTCAATGAGCCAACAATGAGCTCCCTTTCCCAGCCACGGGAAGCTACCGTTTCGCCCTATCAGTGTGATCAATAAAGGATGGCATTGGAAGAGAGGACTACAAGATTATGTGACTTTATAAATTTTATAGACAATAAAATCTTTTCCTCAAGAAATGTATTCCATTAACTTCTGGATAGAATGCTTTTATAAGCTGAAATAAGACAGAATGATCAATCAATTTATCGTGGGACCTTAATATATAGAAGATAAGTGTGTGTGTGTTGTTTTATTTCCAATTAGGTCGCTATAATAGTTAGTAAAATTCTTTTTACCCTATTCCAGTATTCTTTTTATGGTTGCGATCAGAAACAGCCAACAGACAATAATGTAAAAAGACTAATACTAATATGGTACAATTGGTAACAATGATATCGAGTATATTATAGGTGTCCTCTTACATGAAATAATCGAATACTTTGTAAAGGAAAAGGGAAATGACAAAACTTCCTTTAAAATGTTAATATATGTCACGTCTTGCCGAAACTTATCCTGCGGTAATCGATTTTCGGTACTCTTTACACTTCCTTTAGCTGACTAGTTTATCGTTCCCGTACTTACAACATTAACGATGAATGGTGGATTATTTTAAAAGCACTATTAGAATTAGATGTGGGTGTCTTTGGAAGTAGGGTGATATCAAACGATAATTAATTAATTAATTATTCTTTAAATTTGTATTTTAATATTATATATATATATTGTGTGTGTGTACATAACACTTTTGCTTGATAAGTTTTAAATGTAAATGCCTGGGCGCGAAATCCGAAAATGTGGGAGGGCAAAGAGGTGACGAATGCACTCTTGGAAATTTGAAATATAGCAATAGGGTTTGTGCTCTATTTCGTCATATATGTATGGCCTACTTTGCCATGTATGGCCTACTTTGCCATGTATGGCCTACTTTGCCATGTATGGCCTACTTTGCCATGTATGGCCTACTTTGCCATGTATGGCCTACTTTGCCTACGAATGCCAAATGCAGCTATTTAATTTGTGTGGATAAACATGTGCTCTTTCTAATCTGCAAATTAATTCTTGTATACTTTATGACAAAAAAGTGTTTGTATTATATGACTTAAAGCAATTATTTTTATATGTATTGAATTGCTAGGAAGCAACAAACCTAATTGGTACGATTATTACTTTAATTGTGATATTGGTATATTATATATACAAGAGAAACAAAGAAAACTATTTATAAAACTGTGATCTGACCAGTTATAGCATATGCAAGTGAAACTTGGACAATAACAAAAACAGCAGAAAACCTATTAAACACATGGGAGAGGAAAGTTCTCAGGAAAATATATGGGCCAACAAAGTATGAATATGGATGGAGAATACGAACCAAACAGTCTATATCAGGATCCCACGATAGTGGCAGAAATAAAGAGAGGCAGGCTATGCTGGGCAGGACACCTAGAGAGAATGCCAAATGACAGAAGAACGAAGAGGGTACATCACCAATACCCCAGAGGAAAAAGGCTCAAAGGCAGACCTAGGCTTAGGTGGATAGATGATGTAGAAAAAGATCTACAGCAGCTGAAAGTCCAAGAATGGAAAAGAAAGGCATTAGTTAGGTCTGAGTGGAAGGACGTGGGTGAGGCAGGCCAAAGCCCTACATGGCCTGTAGCGCCACAGGGATGGATGGATGGGGGGGGGGGGGGGGGGGGGGGGGGGGGGGGAGAGGGGGGAAGCAACATTTATTAACATTTGGCCTCATAATAATTTTCTTTTTAATTCCAAGGGGAAATACTCAGGAATGACTATTAAGTTGTTTTTTTTTTTAAATACTCCTATTTATCTCTTTACTTTCACCTGGAAAGCTAAGGGTCATGTGCAAAATTCAATATTTATTTATGCTTTAAAAAGGCCGAATGGTAGTTGCCACAATGGCCACTGGATCTGAAAGAGAAAAACAGTGAGTTTTTTAAATATTTAAATGCCCTGCATTTTGAATGATTTATTTCACGTTTAGTCGATAGAAAGTCATTAAAAAAAAATTCTTTAAAAAAATATTCTTTATTATTTTCCTCAGTCCCTGTCCGCAATTTAAAAAAAAAAAAACAACATATAATGTGGCCTGCATATCAGATTTAAGACTATATTTAGGCGATAATGTTAAATAAACATTCATTATAAATAATAAACGTGAAACAAACCAATTTTTAACAACAATTAATATTTTTTCGGAACATCAATAACCAAAACACTGTTTTACAATATCGTTGCCACATCGAATACCTTAAAGGCTAACACATATTTCAATGTTATTAGATGTTGATATTCTCATTTTATTTACTGTCCCTTATGTAAGCTGAGTGGAGTAGAATGTTAGAACAACGATAAAAAAGCATCAAGGTTTGAACACTAAGATTAGGGATATGATATGGAAAGTTGTAAAAACACTAGAAATGTTGCCAATGTAAATGTAGGTTAGGCCTATATTGGTATCGGATGAATTTAATGTTTATTGAGTGTAAAGAAATTACTCCCCCCACACCCCATTGGGAACAGTTACCTTCTTTTCTGATAAAGCTAACTAATCATTCACTAATGTAATTTCTCCCGCATTATCCTACTTTTCTTCCTCCTAAGCCGCCCCCCCCCCCCCTCCACACCCCATTGGGAACAGTTACCTTCTTTTCTGATAAAGCTAACTAATCATTCACTAATGTAATTTCTCCCGCATTATCCTACTTTTCTTCCTCCTAAGCCGCCCCCCCACCCCCCATTCTTGGTAGACTACTTTCAAAGATATTAATAAACCTGAGAGTATTTCTCGAATCAAGTTTACGTCTAAACGTAACCACATGCTGTTCGTTTTGTACGTTTATATTATAATAATTTTCATTTGCGATTATTTGCGCACGTCCATATTAAACTAACAATTCCAAAATTTCATAAAGTTAGTAAAATTCCAACGATGCCCCGTGTCACTTAGTTCCTGCTTTAAACGGAGGGCATGTCAGCTGACTCCGTGCAGAATGCAAATAAGGCCAAAAGTCGTCTACCGTCTCGACACATCACTATTTTGAGAATATTAAACATTTGTTTAGACTTGTTTATATTTGTATATGTACTGTAGTAAATACGTTTTTTTAAATTAAATAACTGACAAAAGTTTCTAATCTTTAATCTCTCCTTTTTTTTAAAAAAAGCTACCAATTTAAAATTAAAATATAGCGCATATGACTATATTTTCTCCTCCCCTAAGTTGTGTTGGAAGCTTGCCAAGCAATGGATGGCGTTGTTTATTTTAGCTTTCCCGCGTCTTGCCAACAGGGACTACTTATTCTCATTGATCCGCTACGACAAATAGAGCGGCATGTTTTAGTTAATTTTTCAAGATTCAAAGTAAATTTGTATAAAATAAGAAAAAACATAGAGAGGGAAAACATTAAAAATGTAAACTTTAATATTTGTGTATTTATTCATTACGTTTTTTTCAAGTTTAAATTTACTAAAGCTTGTTGTAGTCGTCGTGAATTGACCAACAGCTGTTTCCCGCCAATTATTACTCATTCTACTTGCTGCGTTACGTCGGGTTGTTGTACATCTCGTTAAAACATTTGTAAACAAATCATTTCTGCAAACAAATACTAACAGTTTTAGAGTTGTGATTAATTTCATGATGTCTGTGGATATAAGGAGTAGTGATCGAAGAAGATACATGAACGAATTACAAGAAAGGGAGAAAGAAATTGCTGCCGGACTTCTCAAGTAAGTTGTAGAAAGTAGTACGCATGTCTGTCACGCATAAACATTGTAGTACGAGCGCGTGGTCTTTAGAGTACTATCTGCTTGTTATTGATAATTTCATCTCTTTTATCGTAAATTAGTCGCCAATTTATATTTATATTAACGCAATTTCATGCTGCCCATACAGCTATATATTTTTTGTGACATTTTGTTTTTTGCTGGCTTCTTTATTTTAATATTTAAAATTTCAACTGTCAAGATAGAAGGCATGACCCCGCCATGACTGAAAACTGAATTACACAGCCTTGTGAACCCTTTTCGGCTCATGTTCCTTTTGTAGATAACCAATTCCTGATTCATAGTCTTAAACATCAGCTGATTTTGAATTTTTAAAAAATCTATAAGCTATATTTATTGTTGATTATTGTGTAGAAAAACTATAAAACTATGGCTAGGCCTAAATTCTAATAAGTCCGCTGATTATCAGCTGTTATTAGTCACGTTTTAGCTTCGGCCTAATAATTTGTCGATTTCATTTATTCATACCAGTAGCCATTAATTTCGGACTTTTCTTACGCTTACCAAACTTAGATTTAATTGATTTATGAGACATGACAATCACAATGGCACAAACAATTTATGAAGTTAAGCTTTAACTTAAATAATTATTTTTGGACCAGTTATAAAATCAAACTCGTCTTCAGATGCCTTACTTACTTTATCAGTTACAATTAAAGCAAAAAAACATTAATATAATTAATAACAATTATTTATTAAATTTAAATAAAGTATTATATTATATTCTACATGTATGTGTGACAATGCTTAAAGAAGAAAGATAACGATTAAATGAATCATACTGACTAATAATGTGCACCGTTGAAAATCGTTTCAAATACAAGTATAAAAAATAATACTTAAAATTAAAAGCTTTATTACTTTTTTTTTTTTTTTCAGTTCAGTTCAGCCCTTTAATAATTACTATAACTTACCGACTATTACTATTTGTTAAATTTCTTTAAAAACTATAGGAAATAAGCTTTAATTTGTGCTTTTTAATTAAAGCTAGGCTTAACTATAATATACAAATTACAATTATTAAAATTAGATCAATGCCTTAAAAAAATATAAGTTGTTAGTAATTTAGCCAAGGCCTTAATGGCCTTTTAAAATTTACATTAGCAGCCTATGATTTATTTATTTTTTCCACATTATATTAGTATTTTATGCTAGTTTGTAATAGTAATGTCATGTAGTAAGTTGTGATGTATATTTTCATTGGCTACGGACCTTTATGATTCTCTTTGGAGGGATTGCGACTGTTATTTTTCCTATTCTATGGCATGCTGCAATCAAAATATTTTCTACTGATTATAGATTATTAAAATGGTTGCTGACCCCTATGCCAGCTTTTCGCATGTACTGGGTTGGTTCAAATTAGTTTTAGGAACGTCATTTCCATGTTTTTTTGTGTGTGTTTTTTTGGGAGGGGGGGGGGTAATTCTAACCCTGCCCTACCCACATGACGTCCAGTTTCAAATTAGTTTTAGGAACGTCATTTCCATGTTTTTTTGTGTGTGTTTTTTTGGGAGGGGGGGGGGGGTAATTCTAACCCTGCCCTACCCACATGACGTCCAGTGTAATGTAAATTTATCTTACATATATTTGTCGCAAGTCCAGTTTAATCATTAAATGCTATGCCTTTTGTTTTTTTTTATAGTTCCGTTTTTTTTTAAAGGCTATGTTATAAATGATATGAAAGTTATGACTTCAGAGTGGAATTGGTAGATGTCCTTAATGCCAGAGTAGATAGTTTAGATTATTTAATAATGCGGCCTCATTAATGGGAGTTCGTTAAAAAACTTGGCATAACTTATAGCACAATCATTTCATCTCTTTAGTTTTGTATATACGTTTAAAAGGGTTTTTATAAGAATCTATAAAATAATTAGATTTAATGTGAGCAGCACAAACATGTTTTGGTGTCTCGTTTCTGTTGCTGTGCGGTACTGAATTACTTGACTAAAAGCCACGCGGTCGGACTGTACCATGGTATTTCAAAATCCTTGCCCGTCGTATGGAATGTGCGGAGGGCCTCGTCACTCAGGTGAACTCTAGGACTACGCCATTGATGGCTGCATGCCAGCGGTTATTCGCCAGGCTTATGGCACACAGCCAAAGTTATTTTTAAAAAATGAACGAAGAAAGGGGGTAGGGGATCCCCTTGTACAAGCCCTACCTCTATACCAGTAGCCTTCAGGTGGACAAATAGGCGATTCCATCCATCCATCGGCTCCTTTTTTTTTTTACAATTCTTACTACGTCTGCGATTGGGTTCCCCCCTTATCCATGTTCTTGTATCTCCACGGTAATTGTATCTGCTTTTTTTTCCCCCCTCTCTTTTTCTAAATCTTTCCTTCGCATCATTCTTTTGGAATTTTCATGCGCGCCTTATCTGCACTGGTCTGGCCTCTTTTTATTCCACTTTCCCCTTCACTGGTTTTATTGAAACCATTTGTGTGAATTACCTGTGCAGACAATGCCGTAAAGATGGAATTTACCCAGGTTTGTGACAAACAACCAATTAGGATGTTATCATGGGCATAGGCTCTTTCGTTGTCCTCGTCTAAAGCCAGGCCTGCGGGAGTCGACGTCAGATTGAGCGTCGTGCAGATGATCCGCTGCTCATGCTAATAATTGTTAGAGCAGTGAATTAATTTCGTGGAAAGAATTTATGTTCAGACTTGTACGCTGTAGAAAATGAGAAGTATTAGGAGTATTATTTCACTTTCTGCCCGGGCTCTGGTTACCCTTTTTTTAAAGTTGTCTCTTACCATTTGTTGTTTTTTTTTCTGTATCGTGCATGTCTGTTGTAATGATGAGTCGATTGCTATTTGATATTGTTTATTTCTCTCCCCCCTTCCCCACCTTTAAGTGGCAGTAGGCTTAATGGACTGTTTAACTTTGTTTTTTACCAGGGTATCACAGCCGGCCTCGCCCAAAGCCCTACAAGAAAACGAGAAGAGGATGCGCCGAGAGATCGCCAACAGCAACGAGAGGAGACGCATGCAGTGTATCAACGCCGGGTTCTCAAACCTCAGAGCTCTGATCCCCAACCTGGAGGGGGAGAAGCTCAGCAAGGTAATTATATCTGATTGTTCTTGTCGTCTAATCCGTGACATTGCTGATATTTGTCCGTCTCATAGTGATTTAAATCCCTGAAAATTATTTTCTATTATAAGGTGGAGACCTGCTCGGGTGACTGAGCCTTGCATTCAGCTTAGATTTTGATGTAGGCAGATAAAGGTTTTGTAGATAACGTGAGTCGATGACATTATTGCGACATACGGCCTAATAACGTTATAGATCACATCACAGAGCCTTGTGGGGGTGATCTTCTCTCTCTTTTTCCCCCCCCCTCCCCCTTATATTAAAAAACAAATAATAAAAAAAAAACAAAAAAAAACTGGATTGCAATGGGCATGATTGAGTGTTAATGTATTTATTTGTTTATGTGAGAAGTTTGCGACACTTACAAAAGGGATAAAGCTTTTAGGTAGATTGAGACACAATTTATATGAATATTACATCTCACGTGTATATCCTACCTATATGTAAAAAAAATGTAAGCAAAGAATAGGAATGTGCGCAAAAATACCGTACTGCAGACCTGTTCACCCTCAAACTCTTACAATCGTACAAAATCGTTCAATATATAATCTCAATAGTTTAAAAAAATAACGTACAGTATATATAATGTATACACTTCAAACTCGTACATTGTACGCCCAATTCGTCAAAGTAAATAGGTCTAGTACTACCAATCTTGGAAATGTGGCATTGTCATTTCTGGAGATTTATCCACAGCAGATCTTGATTCTCTCTCCCACCCTTATTTAAAACTATTATTTGTTTTAATCCCTGGCCTAGTTCTTTTGAGAACACACAAACACCCCCTTCCCTCTCCCCATTTTTTTTCTCTTAAACTTAGGGATTGGCCACCTTGAAAGTAGGATCTAATCTTACCTGAGGGCTACTATGTGGGGAAACCCTGGTGGGGGTGGGGGGTTGAGCTCCAACCGGGAACTGTAATTTTAAACCAAATTTTAAAAAAAAATTGGACTTGCGATTTTTACCATTAGGGCGCATTTCCGGATTAGGTTCAGTGCCTGACAAAATGCTGTCGGTTAGGCTGGGGTTCTACCGACATCCTCTTTTGACCGGTGTCTTTCAGCCAGCAGTGAAATGTCACAGCTCAAGTGCGCATGCCCGGAAGTACTTATTGTGTATGTAGTAGCCAAGACCCTCAATGAAACTTGCCCGACCGGTTGATAAACGGTAACCTAAGCAGCGTGGTGTTCATGAATGGAGCTGGGAGGCGGGCATACCGATTGATCACTGGAGCATTGCGGGCTCTGCTGTGAGATTTAAAAGACTCTTTTTTTTTCTCACTTTTATCTTGTCACTCATTCATAAATATTGACGTACTGCATTTGATAAGTACAGGGAATACGAATGAAATTATTTTGATTTGCAAACGAAATAAATGCGCCTGCATACAACAAGGTAGATACCTAAAATATCATCTGGATAAATGCCGCTGAACTTAAGAATTAACCTTGAATGGTGTCGTCTGTCAAATACATGGGACCCAGTCGTACCTGACGCGTGGGTTGTTTCGTCTCGGTGACCAATTTGAATGGGTGGGGGGGGGGGGGGCAAGATACACTGATAGCTTGGTATTCCCAAGATTTGGAGGGGTGTTGAGCTGAGATTATGGGCCTTTCGCCTAAAGTCCTAGTTGAAGAATTGTAATGTAAGCAGCTATTTCATTCACAGGATACCGAAGTATTCTGGTTACTGCCGGTTCGGAATGTATGGGATTGGCTTCCGAATATTCAGACAGGGGTCCTCACTCATTACTCTCACTTGTCGTGTGTCGGGTGTAATTTTTTTAACTAGCGTTGATTGTTGTTTTTTGTCTAACCATACACGAGGTCCCTTGAACCCATATAGCGTCTTGTTGGTAGTTATCCTACTTGTTAAATGTTTTCATGGGTCGGCTCAACTCTGTGAGTGTGGGCATTTGTAAATGTTTCGTCATCAGTTGTGAACCTTAATTATAGTTTTTTTGTTTTGTTTTAAAAACTTTTACCCACCAAACCTTTAACTAGCCTAACTTATAAGACGGACGCCATCACACACACCATTCCTAAAGTCAAAACTTTCCTAATTAAATCACATCTTTCCTGGTGTTGATGAGGAAATTTCACTGATTTCCAGTGCCACTTTGTGAGGGAACCATGCACTTGGGGTTTGAAGGCTTGAGGCAATAGGCACAAATGTGTCTAGTGTTGTCGCCTCAACCATTCCTTTTGAAAGATTGTTCCAGTCCCTGATTGTCTTGGGCAGGAATGAGCAGTTCCTATGTTATGTGTGCGCTTCATCATGGCTGAATACTTAGTGGGACCACTGGTCTTGACCATATGCCCTATGCCTATACCCTAATCGCTCTGCCGTAAACTAAATACATCGTCTGTCTTTTGAGTCATGGCAAGGCGGTGACTTTTCGTCTACCAGGGCAGAACTAATGAACATTTAAATAGACTAGCGGTCTAAATGGCTCTGCGTAGACTGGATCTACCGTATTAACACACTTAATGGCATTCACGGGGTGTTTTTGTGGCTGTTTTTTTTTTTTTTTTTTTGAGTCATGGCAAGGCGGTGACTTTTTGTCTACTAGGGCAGAACTAATGGACATTCAAATATACTCTAGCGGTCGTGCAGAGGAGACATTTCTATGCACAAGAAATAATGGAACACGGACCTAGCTTTCATTCATAAAACCGCATTTGAACTCTGCCTCGTTCCGAACTGTCTTTATGTTGAATTCGTTTGGAATATTAAGTACTGAAAAGACACTAAGTTGTCCGTTTCCACATGCTCACGCTGAAGGCGTATTTGAAAACTACTTATTAAACAGTTCCAGCCCTTTAACAATCGCATGAATGACATGTAAATGTAGCCGAGTTGTGAGTCACATTTAGTTGGTCGAGCTAATAGTGTGTGCGTTTTTATTTTTAATTGGTTAGTTCAAAGTTAGCAGGAGTCAGTGCTTCGTTCCCGTCAATGTCGGTCTAATTATTTAAATTATGTGACGAAATGTTGTTAAAACCATGGTAGCTTCTTGACCCAAAACATCACGCCGCCTAAAGTTAAAGAATGTGGTGGTTGGGCATCTTGACATACGGTGACGACATTGAATATATAAGGACCAGGCACTGGTTGCTAGTTTTCTTTTTTTTTTTTTTTTTTTGAGACTGTAAGTGTAAAAGGGACATGATCTCTCTTTTCTTCTTTTCAAAAAAAATGAACCCAAAAATAATATCTTCAATTGTTCATCACCCCGGAGTCTCCCCACCCTTAGTTGAACCAACATACCGTGGATCTCGTGTTGTATGCTGGGTAGGGGTAGTGAGTCACTGGCGTGGTGGCTATTTAGGTCATAGCCTTCTCATGCACTGAATCACTCAAGCCCGGTGGTTGTGTCTCGCCGCTGTCGCTCTACTTTGCCAAAGCCAGGGAGCAGGCCGGCCCGGCGATTGTCTGTTGGCCAATGGGACGCTGCCATCAACGTGGTACGATGTGGTCTTGCCATAAACCCCGCGATGGGGTGTGGGGCGGGTGGGAGATGGGTGTGTGTTGACGTCTGTTTTACTTGGTGTCTCAGATCGATTTATTGGGCAATGAATGTGTGTGTGGGGGGGGGGGGGGGGGGCCATGGGTAAAGGCTCAAGGGTCATTCTAAACTTTTTTTTTTTTTTTATGGGGGGGGGGGGGGGGGGGGGGGGGGGGGGGGGGAGGGGGGAGGGGGATTTTTAACTTTTTTTTTTTTTTTTTTAATGATCCGACTTACTTAAAACAGCCATGTTTTACTGAACAGAATGCTCCGTCGTTAATATTAATTAACCTTGCCTCCATCCGGGATTCAGTGCAAATCGTCCATGTTTATCAACATCGCACGATGTCTAATTATAGTTCGTGTTCGTGTCGAATACAAAAGGTTATTAAAATAGCCAACACACCTTAAGTCACCAAGGTCCTTTTGTTGTTGCTTTGCGTGTGTGTGTAACATCCACACCCACCCCCATATGTCACGTGGGCTTCTTTAACCTCGAGTAATCACGAGCGCGTGACATAGATTAGATTGTTTGTGCTCTCGGTTCTCATTCATGACATATCACCGTCATCAGCTGATAGGCGCTAACAACTGACCGGTGTCACGAAATATTAATCACGATGCAATTATGTCTATTGGATGTATTTTTTTAATAGACCAAACGAATCCACTAATAAAAACTTAAGGTTGTTTTTTTTTCGATATTGGAAAGGCCCCTATTAATTCGTCTGCTGTATATATATATTATATATATATATATATATACACACACACACACACACACACACTTGTCTCACCTGGGTGTTGAAGATGTTTTTCTATATTTGGGGAGGCATTTTTATTTTTGTTTGCCGAGTAGAAATGTTATCGTTTTCATTTGAAATGATATAATTTTATCTCATAGTCTCTATCTCTCGTTCATCACCCCAGGCGGCCATTTTGCAACACACAACTGAGTACATTACAACACTAGCCAATGACAAGTCAAGGCTAGAAATCCAGCTTGATCACTCCAAGAGGCTCCTTGCCGAGTTGGGGCAGGACCGCCTGGTCACCGACTCCTATGTGTCCAGCTCCCCTCCTCCGTCGAAGCGGAAAAAAAGGGATACAGGTGTGTGACTATTTCAGTTAAAGACTTAATTTCCTAGACAGAAAAAGTTTCTTCACTTGGAAAAAAAAAAAATCTGTTAAATATGTAAGAATGTGATTTATGTTGCCTCGCAGTTTTTGTTGCATTATGTTCTTTCAGTTAGATGTAGTTGTTACTAATATCTTGCTTTTCCTGTATTTAGAATCTTCAGATGAAGGTGTGGGCTCCCTTTCTGATGCCTCTGATGAAGGTGGGTCAGAGCTCCAGAATGAAAATGTATCCTTACGTCACCAGTTGGAGGCCCAGCGACAGCAGTGTGCTCACCTGGAAGAACGTAATCGTCTTCTGGAAGCGCAGATCCTGTCTTTGCTGCAAGTTCAAGCCGCCCATACAAACACGCTGAGTGTAAGTTGCATGGTATATTGTTTGGAGAGATAATTAAGATGATTCAAATTATTTGCTGACTAAATTTTTTTTATTGTAGAATAGGTGTTGAAATTGACAACAAATTGAAGTGATAATATAATGGTTATGATGTTTGATTTTGAATATTTTATGAAATTAATATTCATTTTTTTTTCACTCCCATAGGAGATGCATCCAGTCAACCTAGAAGTGAGACAGCAAGAGTCTCTATATAACCGTGAGTTGGCTGAAGTCATATCAACACGAGAAAACTTTGTTCCATCCCCTAGAGTAGAAAGTTTCCAGCCGCCCCGACCGCTCTCTCCAACACCTGAAAGAGGGATGTCGATGGATGCTCCAAGCAGAATGGATACATCCTCTCCTGGTTATATGATGGTTCCATCGTCGCAGAAGGAGGTTCCTAACACAACAGGGGTGAAAGTGGAGATAGCATATCCCCCGATGTCAAGGGTTGAGGACCCTGCACCCATCACAGTGCCATCTGCCATAGCAACCGCCCTTGCCAGTCCAGCCAGTGACAACCATCACCATCATAACTACTGCCATCGTGACCATCCCCGCCGCCGTCATCGCCAACAAGCGCAGCTAGAACAGCAGCGAGCTGAGGAGGAGCTGCGACGTCAACAACAGGAGCAGCATGATGTGGTGATGACACCCGTGCCCTTCAGGCCGAAACACAACACTCAAAATCTTGAGAACCTGGTTGAAGCCATTAGGCAAATTGAGGGGGATAGAGTCTTGTGCGATGAAGGCCACAGACTGTATGATGTGCGTCAGTCCTTGGTGCACTCAGAAGAGAGTGAGAGGGAAACGAGTAGCATCAGTGACCAGGATGAGTTCAGATCTGAGAGCTCTGGACGTGACTCACCACCACATCATCATCATCTGCAGCAGCAGCCTCATCAAGTTATTGTGACACATCAGCAGACGTCCCCAGCAACCACAGCCCCAAGCAGTAGCGTCAGTAGCCCAAGCAGCAGTTTCTCGGAAAAGTACCCCATCGCCACCCATCTGCTGCACCGCCCCCTCCATCCATCCTTCTACAGACCAGGGGTCATTGTACACAAACAGTGACAGCCTGTCACATCACTTGACTTTAGTAACAACTTATTTAAGATTGAACTTCATCAGTTGTGAGACATCAGATACTTAAGCAGTGTGCCTGTTACTTGAACTAAAATTAAAGAGTTGGATGGCTATACGGAAGGAAGGCTTGCTGTTTTTAAAATAATAAAATTCCCCCCAAAGTTTATTGAAATTGGAGAAAACTGTGTTCCCTGTCATTCAAATTTATTCACTCACAACACAATGGATTAACATCATGAGAGTGCAGCTATCAGCATATTACTGTTTTACCATACTTTTAGAGCCATTAACTGTGGCACATTAAACTGTGGAATACTCTGTGTTACAGTATTTCACCTGGAGTCTACAAAATGTTGGGAACTGAGAGACAGTTAATGCAGGATACACAGGTGGGCTTTACAGAAAAGAGGGATTCTGATGTTAACGAAAAATATTTATCCTTCATTTAATATAAATTCAGTTACATTCTTTTCTTTTATTTTGAAACGGGTTGCAATGAAAATGAGCAGACATGCTCACTTAAAAAATTGTAAATTATTATAATTCATGTTGTGTTACAATTGTTTACTTTTAAATTTTTTATCCAAAGCCTGTTTCTGAAAAACTTCCAAATGTTTCTATCGAGAAAGATAGTCATACACCCTAAGGTTTCCTCAAGAAATTTTATCAATTTTTTTTTTTTTTATATTTTTATTATTGTTGCTTTGTTACAATTGTTCAGGTTTTTTTTTTTTTTTAAATTTTAATTGAGGTTCATTTTCTGACACTATTGGTATAATTTAAATTTGTAATTATTTCTCTTACTATGCAGTGGTTCTTAAACTTGTGGAACTTGTTGCTTAAGATTTTTTTTATTTTTTTTAAATTATGTGTGAGAGAAGTTCCCTTGAAGGATTTTTAGAACAAAGGTTAAGAACCACTGCTCAATTGCCTTGTTAATTTCTGTATGTACAGCTACTAAATACTAAAGGACATGTTCAGCAATCACTGAATCTATATAAGTACTGGATCATTTATACATATAGTCAGTAATTTATTTATTCAACAGCTCATGTGTAAGATACCACCATCTCCATTGTAAGCCTCGGCTTATCTACATCTATTTATTGCAACAATTTTTTTTTTTTTAAGTCAAACAATTTTTAAAAAATCTATTTTTATACTGTATTGATGAAGGAAAGTGTCAAAATTGTTTTTTAAAAAATGAGTGTAAATATATATAAACCATCACCATTTGTTGTTGTAGTTTATTTATTCCTGTTGGTTTGATTTCATTTCTCTCTCTCTTCCTATTCAACTTGAACCCACATGAATTTGAATGAGACAAGCTGGTTATTTATCATTGATGAGTGTACAGCAATAAATGCTGGGATAATGTGTTACTTTTCTCAAGGCATGAATTAGGTGTTAAAATACTCACACGAGGCGTGATGAAGAGTTGACTAAAATTGGAAATTTTGAATCCCTCCTTTTAAGAGATAGACATCCAAGAAAGAATTATGTTGAAAAACTTTGGTAAAACTAAATTTTTTTCTTGTTCAGATACAACATAAAAGTCTCAGTCTACAAAAGTAAAAATCTTTAACTTTCAAAAGAAAAAAAAAAAGTTTTTAATGAGTTTTAATAGAAATATTTTCTGATTTTTTTTGTCTGGCTAGGAGTTTTTAAAAAATATTGTGTACCAGCATCTCTAGATTTTTAAACCAGTATCCCTTATGTTTTTAACCATCCTTATTTTTCATGTAGACTGTAGAGCTGTTTAGTTTCTAAATCATTTGTAGTAAGAAAGTTGAGATGAAACATTGGCTTTTTTTTTTTTTTTTTTTTTTTGTTCTGCTACTGAAGATGATTGTTCTGTTTGTTTAGAAACCATCACATGTAGGAGGGTGCAGTGGTGGTCAAGAATTCAGTGAAGGCTATGCCGCAATTTTTTTTTTTTTTTTTTTTTTTTTTGTTCTGCTACTGAAGATGATTGTTCTGTTTGTTTAGAAACCATCACATGTAGGAGGGTGCAGTGGTGGTCAAGAATTCAGTGAAGGCTATGCCGCAAACACAAGTTAGTGTAGCGATGCATCACTTTCCCAGCTTTTGAGCCACACTATTACAAGTAACACATTGACGAGTATGTCGAGAAATAAAAAGTTGCTGTCACATATCTTGGTGAATAATTTTCATGTACGCATGACACCATTGTGCAATGGCGCATAAGCGTGGAAGAGGTCACTGGTTTATTTTATCATAGATTTTTTGTTTCGTTGCTGTGAACTCCTGTTGAAAGTTTGACATTTTGTTTTGGCAATGCACACAAAAATGCAATTTGTGACACAGATACAGGTTCGTGTTACTGACAGTAAACCTGTTGGGTTGTGTCATGGTCACACAGAACAACACTGTATGGTTTTGATTCTAGGTCATAAAAGATGTGTTCTTTGTCAGGTTTTTCTCACAATAAATCTGCATGCCCTTCTTTAGTTTAAAGAAAGAATAGTTATTCTAATCATTAATTTTATTTATGAAACGCATGGTTTAATGAGTGGCTTGCTTTGAATGTTTACTATGTATTAAAAAAAACAACCAAATGTTGATATAATTATAATGGTTTCAAATATGTGTTTTGACTTGAATATAATGTCCAGGTATGCAGAAAATAAGAAAAATTGAATAAATCTACTTCTATTAGTCCTATCTATCCATGACAGTTTTATTTCTAGATTTTCCTTTTAATGAGTGAGTCCTTAATTTTATCTGTAAACAAGTCTAGATATATTTTTATTTCATTTTCTTCAGAATGAAAAGAGATTTAAAACTAGCATGAGATATTCATTCCTGCAGGCCTTCCTCTGTATACTTAAAGTTAAAGGTTCTCAGACTATTCAGCACTAACCTCAACCATATGGGGATGCACTATTGTAGCTCTGGCTTTATTACAATATGAGACACAGAATGGAAATATGCACAATTCATTTCAGCCTTGGACTTTTTTTGAAGTTTTCACTTTAAAATTTTTTTTTTTTTTCCATCAAAGAAAAAAAGACATCTGTTCTACTGATTTAGCCACTGCTATTCTGCTGATTTAGGCGTTGAAATTTGACATGGTAAATTTTTGGTTGTGCATCTCTGTGAGCATTCTGTCATAGTTACTGCTTCATAGAACCAAATATGTGTGGTACTTCAAACCCTGGGGGGGGGGGGATAGTGGAACAAGATCTTTTTAGGCCTGAAATTAAAGCTACATGCACCTCATTGAGATTTTGATGCTCTCAAGTTTTCTTTTATTCCTTATTATGTCTTGTTTTCTTATATTCGTATTGTCTGCTGGAGAAGGCATTTCTCAGCTGAAACGTTCTCTTTAGTTTTTCGTCTTTTTCTTTTCCGGCCCAATACAATCTTGTTCCAATATTTCTTCATGGAAGAACCCACCTTTGTTTGGTTTTGGTTTGTTTTTTTCTTGTAGGGTGGGGCGTTTGGATGAAGGGCGTGTGATGACGTATTGGGAAATGTAATTGTTTTAAAAAATAAAATATATGTTAAACAGACATGGGGAAAAAAAACTGCAGCAAATGTTTTGCATGAGAAGATAGAGAAGAGCTTTCCTCAGATGAATGCTTGGTTCCAGATTTATTTAAATTAAGTTTGTCCTCGACCATTTAAAAAGTTAACATTCTGCCGAGGTGATTTTGGTGCTTTTGACCGGGAACCACCCAACAGCCGCCTTTTTGTTTTGTCCAGAACATCACTGTTCTAGGACCGTGATGACGTAGAGGCATCCATGCGGGCTGTTGGGGGGGGGGGAGATACTTTGACCTTAAGTTGTTTGTTGCATTTGGCCTGGGAATTGTCAGTGGGGGTGTAAAGGTAATTTCTTCCAAATTGTGTTGAATGTCCATGTAAATATGTTATCTAATCAACCCGCATAAGCCATGTCCTGTCCTCAACCTGGCTGGACATGCTAGTGTGGGACTTAATTGTAGATTTGATGTAATTCCGGGCCTATGTACTGACATCTTGATGTACTCAGACCTCTCCAAATGAACTTCTACTGCTGTGATAACACAATATCAGATTTCATTGAACCTGTCTTTTTTTTTTTTTTTTTTTCATTGATTTTGTAGCAATTGAAAGGCAGATCATGCTGCAGCTGTCCATTGATTAGACAGCAATTTTTATTGATGACTTTGTCATTGCTGTCTTATTTGACAGCCATTTTCATTAATGACTTTGTTTTTTTTTTTTTGTTTTTTTTTTATTTTTTTTTGTATTTTATTTGTTCTTTTTTTTTTTTTTTTTTTTTTTTTCATTGATTTTGTAGCAATTGAAAGGCAGATCATGCTGCAGCTGTCCATTGATTAGACAGCAATTTTCATTGATGACTTTGTCATTGCTGTCTGATTGGACAGCCATTTTCATTAATGACTTTGTCTTTGCTGTGTGTCTTCAAAAGGCATTTCAAAAGCCGGGTAACTACTTTAGAATTTAATAGTGAGGTATTATACATCATGAGTTTCACCATGAAGTATGTTAAAAAGCCATTGAATGTGGACAGCTGTTTCTCAATTCCCCACCCCCCTTTTTTTCCTTGTAAGAACCTGTACTTAACTAAGATGACCACTGCTGCCGTTGGAACATGTTGCATTCTGCCAATGGTATAACTTATTTATTGAATGTTTGTTTCTTGTTGATGGTCGAGGAGAAACTTTTTCACGTGTTTGCTTGTTGAGACCAACAATTTTTTTTTCTTTGTAAATGATCAAATAAAATTTATTTTGTTTGCAACCAGTTATGCGTTAGCTTCTGTTTCAAAGTGACTGTATGTGATTGTTTCTTGAACTGTGTTAATATATGAGGAGATATCTTTTCTTGTGAGATTGGGTGGGGCCTATTTTACTCTTGGGTGAGCTCTGCCCACCAGAAATTTAAAAAAAAAATTGAAAATGAATACTGTGCCAGCTAAGGGGTCGTTCGCAAATTACGTCACGCAAAAAAATGACATTTTCACGACCTAAAAAAAAACCTTTCTCCCCCCCCCCCCCCCCCCCCTTTGTCACAAATACTTTATCACACCTTCCCCCTTTAGTGTCACGTCTCACCTAAAAATTCAAAAATCAAATTAAAATAGCATTACATTTTTCACCCAAAGAAAAAATAATTAATTTAAAAAAAACAACTAATAAAAAGAATTGTAAAATAACATTTCTCTGTAACACCCCCCCCCCTCACTCTTTGGTGTAACACAATATTTAAATATGCGTTATATTATATATGTGCAAGGTCCCTAAGCCTAGGACCTTCAAAATTAAAGAGGCCATATTTTATAGACACTCGCGTTTTTAGAATACTTTACTGGTGTATTAAAACGTTGCTTTTAAATTGTACACATTAAAATAAAAACACGACAAAAATGTATGATTTATAATTGTACTACCGTGCACTGATAGGGGTTCTCATTTGAAGGGGGAAACTGGACAAAATTCACTCTCATCCAGGGTTTCTTTCAGGCATCTCTCCGGGGTGGGGGGGGGGGGCAGTGCCCCCGGGAAAAGTCAAGCCCCCCCCCCCCCGAGAAAAATTGGTAAAAAACAATAGAACAATAATATGTTTTTTTTAAATTAAAAACGACTAAATTGTAATTTTAAACAGTTTTAAAAAGAAAAGTTCTGGTGCCTTTAGACTTTTAGCCAATTACAATTAGTGTGATCTATGAAACATCGCTTCGCTCTATATATTTGATGATCCAAGGTCTATTATTTTAAATTAAGGATTTAACGAGCGCAAAAAAGTAGTGCAGATTTCCTCCATTATTACATCGAAAGCGTTTGTGTTGTCTTTAAATGTGCCACGTGTGTAACAAACTTTCTTGAATAACACAGGTTTTAACAAAATAATTAGCTTACATTTATTAAATTCCCACCACTTGTCTTTTTAATATCAGCATAATAAAGAAAATTGCAACATCTATTTGCAAGGATTTTAAAAAAAATTTTTTTTTTTAAAAATGAGAATCTTTCACAAAGCTAAAAACACAACAACCAAAAAAAAAACAAACAAAAAAACGATTTTCGTGAACTAGCATTTCGATTATCACGCCACTTCCCTTTGTTTTGTTGCTACTTGTCTTAGAATTAATTCTTATTCCTAATTTGCTATTCTAAAGTAAATTCTGTGGATTTTGCGGGGAAAATGGTTTAAGTATATCTAAGTGGTGATTTGTAATTTATCTGAAAAAAAGTTATAGTAGTAGTATTTTGAAATTACAAATAAAAGTTTCAATCAAGTGAATATGGGGAAATTTCTACTATTTTGTAAAAAAAACAAAAAAAAAACATGACCATATTTGATAGCCTATAAAAATGTAAAGACCTTTCTATTTAACTTTTTTTTTTTCTTTTTTATAACTTGTAAATATTTAGCAAACGTTATTATTTCACGTAAGTTGTTTATTACAAGTATTTTTTCCCCCTTTACGTTCAACTGCTTGAGATAAAACATGATTTATCAAGCGAAGACAAGTAGCTGGTTTTGATTATATGTTTAAAAAAATTCTACCCAAACCAATAGTCTTTATCGCTATTCAATTTGAAAAATAAAATAAAACGTATTAACCTTGTTCGTTTAATTGATAAATAATATATACCGTTATATCTAGATTAAGAAAGCGGCAAGTACCACTAAGTTGAGAAATATTTTAACCGATTAGTGAGTTAGATGGAAAACAAGCAAAACTCCAATGTAGTTATTTTTAGAGGCATTCCCCGGAAAAAAATGTGACGTAACGTCTCGTGCGACCCAATTTTATTTATTTATTTATTT